ATGTCGAAGCAAGTCAAATTGAACAAACATCAATTTCAACGTAAGTCTTTCGATCTGTTTCGTAGATTGATCGTTTTCTTTTTTTGTTTGACAAAATCTTGTTTTCGACGTATTTTAGGTTTGAGTAAACGAATTGATGTTATCGGTTCTGTTGTTAAATCTGTTCTGAATTCCGACTCGAATGAAGTCGAAATAAAGCCAGTCTTACAAAATTTGAATGAGACACTAGAACAAATTTTCAAATTCATAGAAAAATTTCTTGATGCTTCGTTATTTGAACGCTATATGAACAATTTTGAGTATCAAGAACGAGTTGGAATGTTTAACGATGTATTGATGTGCAATAGTGCAGATCTTAATTTACCATTCGATATATATAAACTATTTGATGAAAACGAAAATCTCGCTGATCAATACGCCGATCTTAACGAAGTATCATCGAATATTGATAAAATAGGATTAGAAATGGCTCAACATAATAAAGAGTCATTTCATACATTGAAATTCACAAAAGAAGAATTTTATCGACATATCGATTCGTTTAAATTTCATCTTCAACAAGATATACAAAAAGCTCGAGATCCTAAAATTGCAAAGAAAATTGAGAACGAAAGAAAACTTTTTCTTCACATTCCCGGACATGATTTAATACAAGAAGAACAAATTGGTCAAGGTGGTTATGCTGATGTTTATCATGGGAAATGGCTTAGTCGACATCACGATGTAGCAATCAAAGTTATACGCGTCAATAATATAACCGATATAGTGAAGCAAGGTTTTCTTAAAGAAATAACTACCATGTATCAGATTCGATACGAACATGTACTCAATGTGTTAGGTGCTTGTATAGAATCGAACTATTATGCACTTGTTATGGAATATATGTCACTTGGATCACTTTATGATTTGTTGAAAAACAAGGAACAAACACTTTCATGGCCAATACGTTGGTCATTGGCACTTCAGATGACAAAAGGCATCAATTGTCTACATATGATGTCGATTCTTCATCGAGATATAAAGTCGTCGAATTTTCTTATTGAAATGGCACCGAATGGTTATCTTGTCAAAGTAGCCGATTTTAGTTTAGCACAAATTCGATCTGAGTCAAGTCGTCAATCGATATCAAACACCAGCAGAAAAATACCACCGGGTACACTTCGTTGGACAGCACCGGAACTTTTTGCTAATGGCAAATCATCGATGGCCAGTGATGTCTATAGTTTGGGAATGGCATTTTGGGAAGTGGCCACCAGATGTATACCATACGAAGATGCCAATGATATAATTATCGTCACTACTGTTAGTGTTGGAAACAGACCACCTATTCCGGCCGATGTTCCATCGACGTTTGCAGCCATCATTTTTGATTCATGGAATCAAGAACCTAGTAGAAGACCAACTTGTCAAGAACTCATTCGACGACTCGAGACAAATGCTTCGATATTCCAATCTGGAAATGCAATAACGTGAGTCTTCTTTTTTCAGTACAAAACGAAAACTATATTTATTTTGTTTTTAATATAGACCATATCCCACTACAACTACAAATGTGCTGTGTCAGATGCCTCTACCTCAATACACTAATAACACTCCACACGAATCAAAAACTTTACAAACATCATATGGTTGGAAAAAAGGTATGTGCTTCTGCTCCGCTCCCTGATCTTTTCGGGTTTTAAAATCACATATTGAAAGAATATTGTCCATTGATTTAGAAATAGTTACTACCGTCCAGCATCAGTCAAACATACTGACAGAAAATATCGACAGATCAACTTTTAATATAGAAACATCGAAAATTGAAGACGAACAAGCACGTCGAGTTACACTTGCTATACATGATCTTATGCTTTATAACAACTGTCCTATATATGATGATGATGATTATGCAAATATTTTTATTAGTATCAATTTTCTGAATTATCCGCCGGAAGAACGCGAAACACCAGAAGCTCTCCCAAAGAAGCGACCATTTACAGTGTACTGTTTTAACTTTCAGAAAGGTAATACAATTAGGGATGTTCGAATCATTTCATTTCTTTTCATTGAATCTGGAAGATTACTTCATACATAATCCTGAACAACAAGCTCAATTGGCTAAACTCATTTCATTTGATTCATCGGGAGAGTATGTTATATTGTGTTGCAAACAGTCAAAATGCTGTTATATTTAAAATAGGATTCGATTCGATGTGATTGCTGAGCCATGCAATAACAAGCAAACACTTGATTGTATCGATGTTGGATATGCAACTGTGAATGTAAAGCAACTTTTACAAATCGATAGCGATTATATCAAACAGAGCATTGATGGTAAGTGAACTGAATCTTTCAAAAATCGATGATTAGAATGGATGCGGACACAATAGTTGATTGCAAATTTTTTTTTAAAATTTATTTAGTGATTTCAGCAAACGAGAAAAAGCAAATTATTGGACAAATAAGCATCACGGTGGTAATTGTTCAAGCACTGAAATTGGCTCAGCAACAAAATCATCAAGTACAAAAACCTGGTACAGGATATCAGATATAGGACTTGAATGCAATTATATCTCCTCACACAAAGAGCATCTAGCACGAAGTCTTTCTTTAGTAATGATCTATAGAAAAATGTGCTTGTAGGAGGATTGGTCAGAAAACGGCGAGAAGATCTTTGTGTAGCAACGAATGGTCCTTGTGATGAATAGTATGCAATCATTGCATCATATGCTAGCCTAGATATACAAAATCTCAATCGAGCAATATACAAAAAATCATTCATACATAGAGAATTGTTTTTCAAATATCTATTTAGATGACACATCAGGAACAACATCAAATTTAGAAGCATCTTTGCAACCACAGTCTTCTCATTTTCTAACAAATGATAATGATAACAATGAAATTCAGGGTACTGACATTGATTTGTTGGCTCTTTATACAAAGTTGACGTTGAATCATAATAATGAACCTCGTGCGACGTCTCGTTCTAGTACTCCAGTTTCTCGTATTTCTTTGTCTGATAATTCTAATCGTGCCTCTCGTTTACGTCTTGCTGCTATTCGTGCTCGAATTAATGCTAATTCAAATCCTCATCGTCCTCGTCGTCCTCGCACCGATGCTAAGATAAAAAGCCGCCGTCCATCTACTCCTGGACGTCCAAAATAAAGCAGTCCATCTTTTTAATTCTCACAATTGCATACTCATTTCTTGACGTCATTTGGAAACATTTTCTATATACGATCGAAACGGTTAACTATCCAACAGGTGGCACAGATAATGAGCCACTTTTGTTTCTTCTTTTTCATCGTTTTTGAATGTTTCTAGAAAAATAAGTCTGAGGAAAAAATAGAGAATTTTCTACCCTATTCTACTATATAATTTATTTAACAAATATAGACACGATTATTTGACAATAAACTCTATTTGTTCAACATTCAATATTACGCCGTACAACAACGTCTTTATTAATCTTTTTTATTCCTTTTAAAATTTGTTAAACTAGAGTCTTTTTATTCTATATATTAGCCCAGTTCATCTGTGTACATAATTCATACCATATAAAATAATCAAGTGGATTAAGATCAGGTGAATTTGGAGGCCAAGATGTTTTACGTCAAAAACTACTAAAATGTTGTTTACACCATTGTTAACTATGACGATCAGTGCAAGGAGATGCATTATCTTCTTGAGGGTGTGGGTGTGGGTGGGTGTGGGTGTGGGTGTGTGGGTGGGTGTGGGTGGGTGTGGGTGTGTGGGTGGGTGTGGGTGTAGGTGTTGGTTTGAGTCTTAGGTTCATTTACGTCTATACTCACACCCACACCCACATCCACACGCTACACCAACCCATACGCCACACCCCATAGTGCTAAAACTTCAGTTGCTATAGCTGCTACTTTAGTTTTTGCACATGATAAAGATCTAACAATAGATGATGAAGCAAATAAACCTTTCAAAACATCAATTGTACACTGTTGTGCTATATATGATATTCTATGTCGAACATCATGATACACCAACGTTGCTTCTGCGGCAGCTATCTCATCTTTTTCACGAGATGATTTCATTGTTGTGGTAATAAGATGACAATCAACACTAAATGTTAGCATATTTTTAATATGTTGTTTAGTCTTGGAATGCTGTACAACGTTGCTTTTTCCGCCATAATGAACATTAAATTGAGTATTACATGCCATACATGTTGCTTGACTTTTATTAGGTTTATATTCTTTTAGAAATTTAAATTCAGTTAACCATTCGGATTTAAATACACCTTTTCTTTTTTCTTGTTTATCTTTTTTTTTTCTCAACAGTTTTATCTTGTGTTGTCTGTTCTTTTGATAACTGTTCGTCTTCTACAAAAATATCTGTTTCTTCATTTTCATTAAACATTCTGAAATTGTAAGAAAAAGATGCATATAAAGTAAAATTACATTGTTCATTAATGTGACTGTCGTTGAGTAAGATTAAAGGAAGCAATTATATGCAAAAAACGAAGAAAAAATAATTGGTCCTTTGAGCTGACCAATAAAAGAAAAACTTAACCCTCCATCGAATCATTGATGAGTTTTTTCGAATATTAACAGACAAGTGAAATATGATTAAAATAAAAAGTATCTAAAATTCGGAAAAATTTCAGAAAAACTTCCAAATTCCGGAATTTTTCTGCAAAATCCAGAAGATCTGGCATCTCTGGTGATCGTCGTGACCTATAGTTATCACGGTCACGAGCATTAAACCTGTGTTTCTGTTAACTAATTCCATTAGTCATCGGATGAGATAAATTTTCTTATGCAATGTATTCGCACTGCTTTTAACAGTGCAATTAGTAAGTCTTTCTTTTGTAATAGCTGCACTAAGTGGCAGCAGAACAACGCGCGCAGCTTATAAGAAACGGATGAAGTGTATTTTCTTTCATGTAGTACAAATCGATTTCACTTGTTCTGCAGTTAGTTTTACAGGCGCAGTTGTTACGATGTTGAAAAAAGAGAAAAAAAGCCATTTAATTACTATTTGCTTTATTTCAATTTCTTATGCTTCATCAAAAAAGAAAAGCGATTATTGCGACAAAAAAAGTGTACACACTTTTGCAACTAAGAAATCGGATGGAATAGTTCTTATTTCTGACGTAGGATGAGCGCATAAATAGAGTAGGTTTCATAATATACTTGTATTTGTCTATCAAATTCATTTTCTCAGCGGTAAAAAAATCTATTATATTTCATTCTCGTCACAATTTTAACAATTATCGAAGAGCATGGAGATAACAGACAGGTACAGTATAACTATTTCTTATAAACATTAATACTGATAGATAAGGTATGTTTCAACCAAATTATGAATATTTAAAAATTCGTTGCTAAGAAAAAAATATTGCTGAAGAATATGAAACATACTTAGGTCTATCCAAAAGTTCACAGATTGCTATTGGCAATTTTATGAATCAATTAGCGTTGAAGTGTTTTTTGCATGAATAAGTAGTGGAGTGCATTGTCTATAATTATAGATACAGTAATTCTATTTCGGACTTAGTAGTAATACTTTTTTTGATAAACTTTAATTCAAACTTAAAAAAAATTTTCAAAAATGGATAATGAATATAATCGATATTATATAAAAATTCGAACTATTTCTGGGGATAAATCCAAAGACAATTCGCAAAGAACTTGTAACAGCTTTGGAACCCAAGACTCCATCATATTCAACACTTGCAGAGTGGGCAAAGCGTTTTCGTGAAGAAAGAGAAGATGTCCATGATGATCCTCGATCTGACCGTCCAGTTTCCGAACTTACAGATGAAAATATTGTACTAGTATGAAAGGGTATCAACAATGATCCGCATTTAACTTATGATGATATTATAGCTGAGACATCTCTCTCTCTCTCATGGTACAATAGTACGAATTATCCACGATTGTCTTAAGATGAAAAAAATTACATCACGTTGGGTATCCCATCAACTGACTGATGAACAAAAGCAAGAACGTGTTAAACTTGGTCGTGAAAATTTGGCGAAATTTCGTAATGATTCCTGGAGATTATGTGATACTATAACAGGTGATGAGACGTGGATTTACCATAAGCAGATTGGTCACAAGTCAAGCAATACAAGCTGGGTTAATGAAGGTGAATCACTAGCAACTATTGTTCATCGAAGTAAATTTGAACCAAAAAATTTATTTTGTATACTCTTTAAATCAAATGGTCCTGTTCTCATACATGCTGTTGATAATGACGAGACTATAGATCACATTTCTTATATACAAAACTGCCTTAAGTCTACTGTTAATGAAACATGGAAACAAAGAAAGTCAAATGATACAAAAGGTATAAAATTGCTTCATGATAATGCTGGACTCCATTGTCATTCAGATGTTATTAATTATTTAACAGAAGAACGTATCAATATAATGCCGCATCCACCATATTCACCTAACCTTGCACCGTGTGATTATTAGCTAAATGATTACATCAAACGGAATTTAACTGATCAGCCAAATGAAAAAACATCGGCTAGTGCGATTTTCAAGCTGGTGAAAAATATTCCAAAAGAAGAATTTAAAAAAACTTTTGACAAACTATTAGAAAGGATGAAACTTTGTATAAATAATCATGGTGACTATTTTGAACATTTAATAAAATAAAACTTGAACTTTCTATTTGTCTTTATATTTTTTTTAACAATCTAGGAACTTTTGGACAGACCTAAGTAGTGTGAAGATATTTCTTTTTTAAAGTGAGCAATATTTTAAAAGAGAGCTCATTGATAGGCCATTTCAACACATATCTAATATTTTTTCTATTGTTTCTTACTTTTTTTTACATACCAATGTTGTCTTGATTAATAACCATGGTAGTGACCCTTGATTATACAAGACTCTTCTAATATAATTGAACTGATTCTGATTCTTTTCTTTCTCTTAGGATTATCTCAGACAACTTACATGTTGAGGATGATATTACGTCAAGAAACAACGATACGCGATATATCAATATCGATCAAAGACTATTGATTACAGAATCTTGTTCGGACAATCCAATGGAATGGACACGAGACGATGTTGCTCTATGGCTTTGCCAATGCAATTTAGAAAAACTTATACCTGCATTTCAAGGTTAGTGAGTCTAGATGACCTCTACTGAAAAAGAAATAATCGATTTGTTCTTATCTAGAAAATGATATAGATGGATTAATTCTATTGAGTGATGAATTTGATCAGAGTATGATCAAAGATTTGATACCAACAGTGAAGGATAGAGTTTTATTCAACATTGCTAGAAAATCACTCAGACATTACTTTGAACCAGTAAGCAATACTTTGATTATCAAAATTCAATCTGAGGTTTGTGTTAAATTAGATGCAATCCGACACCGCTATAGAAAATCAGACGAATGTCGATCAAAAATCGATCATTACTCAATGTAGGTATCATAATCTTTCGATATTTGATCATATCCTTTCTCGTGATCATTCTTAGTTTTAGATACTCTGAATAGAAAGGTTGACTGTCTAATGAATTTAAGAAGAAGTTATTTTTCCTCTGAAAATTCTCAAATTTTACAAACAATTTCAACCACGTGCAGGTCAAATACTTGACATACATAATAAATTTTATTTATTTTTCGTTCTTTTTATTATCTAGTCGGTATTGGAACATTTGCAAACGTATTTATACCGAACATATCGTGTCCAATCTTCGAAAAATCTTCTTGCATGATATTTGGAAAAAACCAGCAAAACTTCGGCAGAATAAAATCATATTTATTATTCCCATGATTCTTTTCCTTGCTTTTTTCAATCTTCATTACACCTCAAGAACAAGACGAATCCAATTATCATCAAAACGAATTCATGAAAAACTTTTCGATTTATACGATGACGATGGTTTACTGTTGAAATGCCCATCCTATCTTCGATTTAATTTAAAGAACCGTCGTCATTTTGTTGTAATGATGGTTTCTTCACTTAAAACATATATTTGGAAAAACTTTCTTGGTCTTCTCTGTTCTGGTATTGATGTTTACATAATGTTAGATGAAAATTTTGATATTAATTCATCATCACGTATCGATGCTAAACCTCATTCTCAACGAAATGAAAAATCTTATTCACATCGATTTTTATATATTTCAAATGAAACTTTACAACAAAGTGGTGTTAGTTATATGAATAAATTACCTCGAATTCAGTATACTGCATGGGACCGAACTGTTGCTTGGCTTTATACACTTTCAAATTTTAGTACAGTTTGGCTGATTGAACAAGATGTTCAGTGGTATCATCCGAATAATATGACAAAATTATTTAATCTATTCATTTCGAATGAAGCAAATATTCTATGTACAAATATTGTATCAAGAACAAATTCTTGGAATCATTGGCCAACTACGAAATCGGATATATTTCCTGACATTTATTGGACAGGTTCATTTAGTCCTCTTGTTCGTTGGTCATATCGATTAATAAGATCTCATTATCAATATATGCGATTGATTCATCAAAATCGATTACAAAAACAATTTGATATAGATTTTCGTTTTCAAGAATTTATTTTTGCAACAATTGCGAAAATGGAAAATTTTACTTTAGATGTTTATAATAATTATCATTTTCTTCAAATTGGTTTGAACATTTATAATGATGATGATATTATTCAACGGATTCTAAAAGGCAAATATATTTTACATTGTGTGAAACATGATAGTATTTTAACAAGATATACACCGAATAAATTAGCTCGTATTATACGAAGAAATTATACGAAACAAAACTAAAACATTATTTCTTTTATCCTTTTTTTGACTGTAAAGTAAAAAGAATTATAGAATTGGCTATGAAAAAAAGTAAGCAGTGTAGTTTCGGATGCACGAAAATATGTGAATGTGGTATTGAAAGGAAAGAATAATCTCGGATGCAGATCCAAACGAATCAGAAAAATATCAGTTCGACTGAATAGAAGATTTTTAGTTCTTGAATTTGTATCTTTTGAAGAAAGATCAATTGAGTCTTACCATAAGAATTACAAAATTGATCGATCATTTTCGACTAAATGTCTTACACGAGCGGAGCAGTAAAGATCTCAATGAATAGTGATTGAACTATGCATGTTTCAATTCACAGGTATTTGAATGAAACTACTGACAATCGTAGAAATTGTCTTGGTCAATGCTATTCAATTCAATATAAATACAAATCTAGCGAGATGTATTTATGCTTTCATTTTTATATTAAATAAAAGTAATGTTCCTATTATTATTAATATTGATCATGCAATCAAGTTTCTCATTTGATTATGCTATCTAGCAACCCACTGATAGTCTGTATAAAAAGAGGATTTTGAATAAAAAAAAGAGAATAAAAAGAAGCGTACGATTTCGGCTTGTCAAATGATAAAAAAATGTTCTCATGAGGATCATAAGTCAATAAATTAACATGTTGTTGATATACATTCAAGGCTTACATGTAAGGCTTAGAAGATGACAGCGATCTTCAATTGTTCAAATTTACTGTTATTCAACTGATGGTATATCGAGTTCAGAGAGAGAGGATGGGCGTGGGTGTGTGTAAGTGTGGTTGTGAGCTGGAAGAGGCTGTCTGTATAACTCTCAACCGCAGGCATCTCTCATTACTCATATTCACATCCAGAACGAAACCCTACGCCCACCCACACCCTGCATATTAAACAGTAATATCCCGTATCAATGGACCTCAGACTACTGGTGTTATAGTCGGATTTGAGACAACGACTGAACATGGCTAGAAAAAACACTAGTAATTTATCCCGTCTTTTTCTTACTTCGAATTATGTGCGTTCTGTAAACAGAACATGTGTTTTATTGGTATTGATATATGTAACAGATAGATAACAAGATGGAAGCAAAAAAAAAAGGCCAGATAAATCATATTTCTAGAGACAATCATACATCGACTTCGAATCCGCCGTTTTGTCGCTCGCTCTATTGCTTTCATAATCCACTAGCACAGAAAAAAGAGATTTACTCTGAGAGAGAAAGAACGCAAGAGCACATAGACATAAAACAGCTCCATCAGTGAGTCAATATTCCTTTTGCGCTTCTCTACATATACGAAACCGTGCTGTACACGCTACTGCTGTCGATTGTCATTTATGAACTAAACACTTGACAAAATCAATTGGATCAAAGTCAATGACATTTCTATCTATCAAACGTTTCTATATTGATCGTAAATCATCAATGGAAAAACTACTATGGACTCGGTTCACCGATGTCAGTCAGTTAATTGTCTAAAAGAATCCTCAATTTGCACTCGAATACAGGGTGTGGGTGTGAATCATCGCCTCACCCCGATCAAAACACACGCACTCACATTTACACCCACACCCACACCCTCTTACATTATCCCTTGTGATAACAGTTTAGAATTAACTCTGTTTTGATTCTTTCCTTTAGATTGAATTGAAACGTGACCATTTGATGATCCTCTTTACCAAGGTGCAATGTTAACATTATGGTAGCTCCACCCACCCCCACCCTTTTTGACACTTTTCTGTAAAGATTTCGTACCGAGTCTTATGTATGGGACCATTTATTCCATTCATAAAAAGAATATTCCATACGAAACCAAAAAAGGATCTTCTCGTGTATCCGCGAAAAGATCCTTTTTTGGTTTCGTAAAGTCCTTTTTTTTGTTTTTAGAGTGTGCCTATTTGAATCGGAATATATGCTATGAATGGTGTCAACAATAGATAAAGTGAATTTATATGTTGCTTATCTTCACCGAAATAATATTGCATACATCCATGTCCCATTATCATTTTTCTCTCCTTAGAGTATGCAGACAGGAGTCTTCGATCTTGTTTTCATACAACATCACGAGAGATATTCTTTATTAAAATTTAACAGATGTTTTCAAATCATGTGGACAGAACAGAGAGTTTTCTGGCATAGTTCTACCTTCATTTTGACGAACTCTATCAGCAAATCTATTTTCGCGATTTTTGACTGTACTACTGTTCATGTATGATTTTTTGCATTTAGTTCAATCTGAATTGTGCAATGGCCACATCAGATGAATGCGATATCAACCTGCGAAAAAAATTTTACGCCCAACTCGCTGAAGAAAATAAGTTTTCAAGAGAACACACATTGGAAGAAATGCTCCAAGTATACTTGAATGATAAAGCCCATTTAGAAGTCTTACGACAACAAATTTCAAGAAAGGCATGTATTAATCGAATTCTGGTGATTGGTCTTACTGGGGTTGGTAAGAGTAGCACTGTCAATCTGTTGACCAAGAAAGAAGCAGCGGCAGTAAACAATAATGCTGTTGGATGTACCTTCGAATTTACAGCATATCAAGCCGTATTTGAAGATGGATTCTATGAAATTATTGATACTGTCGACTTGAATGAAAGCACACAGGGGACGGTACCGCTCAACAGAGCTTTGAGAGAACTCATCCGATTTATTAGAAAGAACAAAAGAGGTTTTAGCTGTATTCTATTTGTATTGCGACAGGGTCGTATTGACAATACATTTGAGAAAAACCATAGGCTCTTTTATGGCGCACTCTTGCAAATGGAGGTACCAGCTATCCTTTTCGTTAATCATTGCGAAGACGATGAACCTATGAACAAGTGGATTGAAGATAGGAACAACAGCAATATGCTTCAGTCATACGGATTTCGTGCAATCGTTTGTGGAACTGCGAAAATGGTTAGTGAACGATCGGCAAACTATCTACCTACCTTACGAGATGAAACATATAAAAGGCTTTGGGAAGAAATCAAAACGAGACACTTAGAAAGGCCGGTAACTATTGAGTGCAATCTCAACTTATTTAAAACAGTATGGAATACTGTATGTGAATATTGTCGTATTCAGCGCAAGTTCTTCAGCGAGCGATTCGCTGAATTTATCGAAGAATTGCAGAGAATGGGTGTCGATGGAGAAACAATCCGAGAAATCATTCTTATACTGTCTTAATTTTGCTATTTATTGCATTCATTTAATCGAGATCTATTTCATCATTATATCTTTTTGATAAAAAGATAACCTGGAAACAATTTTTATGTAAGAAATAAAGAAGGATGAGGGGTGAGTATATCTACCACATTACCAGCTCAGATCGATGAACCCGATGCCGAATTCGATCGGATCTCGTAAGGTCCGATTAACCAACAAAATCCGATAGGATTTCTGGTTGAGGAACTACTAATGGATCTGATGGACGGAATCCGATATATATCCGATGATATCCAACTGTCAGAATCCGTAAAATTTTCCTTTGTCAGGTTCCGATAAGATTTTTGTATGATTTTTATTGTGCTTTGTACGTCCGATGAATCTTTTTTAATGCTCCGGTAAGATTTGCTATGCAAGTGCTACTGTTGTTCATCGTTGAAATTGTAAATCTAACTGTTAGTAGGCATACTTTCTGCGGATTTCTGAT